AGTGGAGAAACTGAGGCTGAAGCCATCTAGTTATTTGCTCAATAACAAAAGGTATTCAATAATAGAGATGAGCGTCAACTTTGAAAGTCTGCATCAAGCCCAGGTACTTTGGATGCCTCCCTACACCCAATGTGCCTTCTGCTGTTGAAAGACAACCATTAAATAAAGCAACCTTTTGGTTTTATGAAGACTCTGTCTAACCTGAGCCTTGATTTTTGTCCCAAGCTGTCAATCCAAGCAAGGATTCTGTTTACTGTGGCTGTCACTACAAAAGCAAGCTTTATCCAGAAAGTTAACTCAGAATGCATTGAAAGACTGTGGGACTTATGTGAAGATCTGCATTATTTTAAAAAAGCCAGGTGCTTCAAACATTTAAGAAGGAATACAGAGAAAGGCCTAGGGATGTAAGTCTCCAAGGACAGCTACCCACGAAGGGCAAGGCAGGAGGACTGAGCATTCAAGGACTGTGAGGGCCACACAGCAGATTCAAGGCTAGCCCAGAAATTTGTCAGACCCAGAAAGTCAAAAGAAAAGTAAATTAATTAAACAATATGGAAACAGTTACTGGTAGAGAACTTGCTTAGCATGTGCAAGGTCCTAAGTTCAATCCCCAGAACCAGATGATAGATAGATAGCTTGATTGATAGATAGATAGATAGATAGATAGATAGATAGATAGATAGATAGATAGATAGATAGATAGATAATTAGGAGTTAGAATGTGGCAATTTGGTACTTTATTTTTTAAGTAGCCCCACTTACAAAATGTTTAAGGAGGAGCTTGACAAATATGTACCTATTCCTATGTACCAAGTCACAGTGAATTTTACCCATGCCCGCTGTGTCCCCAGTGACAGATGGAAGTGTGCTGCCATGCCCAGGGGACTTGGTACTGCCTCCTGAAAGGCCAGTATTTGCTGTAATTGCAAAATCTCTTAGAAATATGATGTTTTACCTCCAAAGATATTTCAGAATTTATATTCTTCTCCCTCATTTGACTTTGTTATAATATAAAGATAGTCTTTTCAATTACTTATTACAGACTGAAATTCATGCTCCAAGAAGAATTAATGTCATGTTAATTCTCAGGCCTCACATGCTCCTTGCAAACCTCTTACCCCAGCCAAAGTAACACGATGATAAAAACGGTATAATCGCACGACACATGAAGTGCTGAAGTGAAATGGAAAGGACAGAAATATGACTGGGATATTAATTCAAGAGAAAAAGAAAATAGCACCATTTGAATGGGCTGAGTGGGGTAGCTTAGTTCTTTCTGAAAATAAGAGAGATGTTAGCTCACCTTTCCTTGACCTACACTCCAACTCCCTCGCTCAAGTACAGCTTTAGTCACCATGCATGCATGGGGGGCAAGGGACAGAGGAACGGACACAGACACAGAAATGCAGAGAAAGAAGTAAAAGAGAGAAACAGGGCTACAGAATTCATTCACAGACATACAGGAAGACGCTCAGTGCAACCAGTCATCTAAACACTAGATGAAGGCATCGTCATGTCACTATAGCAACAGAATCAGGCATTTCCTTTACAATGGTACACAAATTAATAACATGGAGAAAGGCTGGAGAGAGGGCTCAGTGGGTAAGAGCACTGGCTGCTCTTTCCAGAGGATCTGGGTTTGATTCCCAGAGGCACATGGCAGCTCCCAACTGTTTGTAACTCCAGTCCCAGGGGATACAATGTTCTCTTCTGGCATTCTAGAGTACTGAATGCACATAGCACGCACACACATACACACACACACACACACACACACACACACACACACGGGCAAAATACCCATACACACACAATCTAAATAATAATGATTAACTAATTAATTAAATGTGGTAATATAACCTACAAAACAGCCCTGAACTCAATTCTTTTCTTTAAAGATAGCACTGAGGCCCAGACTGGCCTCAGACTCCTGGTAAGCCTGCTGCCTCAGCCCCATAAGCACTGGGATTTCAGGTGTGAGCCATTTCAGCATCAACTTTGTTTATGGGGTTCAAGAAGGTAACAGACACATGATAATTCCATGGTTGAGACACAAATATGTCCCACTGGAAAGTGAAATGACAGCAGCCTTTGTTTCCTAACAGTTTCATTAGTGATCAAACCTCTTTGTGATGGTTAATCTTTTAAAATGTATGTTGAGCATTTTCATCTCCCGTTCCTTCTCCCAACTCCCCCCAGATCCATCCTCGCCTCCCCAGCTCTCAACTACACGTTCTTTTCTTTTCTTTTCCTTTTATTTTGGTTTGGTCTGTTTTTCAACAACCTGAGATCACTACAGAAAACTGCAGCTGGTCAGAATGCAGAGATCAACTGACTATTCGAAGCCTGATCCCAATTCATACATTTACAACACAACGTGTACACCTGAAGCTCAGGAAACTCTGCGAAAGAGAGGGCAGACAGGATTGTAAGAGCCAAAGGAGCAAGACGTTTGTTGTTAGATATTCTCTTTTAGGAAGGAGAGAGCAAGGGGGGAAAGGGGGAGAGAGAGAGAGAGAGAGAGTGGTAAGATGATAAGCAGACACACAAACTCCAGTGTCCAGGCCCAATATCAGCACAGAGGGGGATGTACCCATTATCTCCTTTCTAAAGGGACAAGTGGCATGCATTAGCGTTCTCATATGCCAGTTGCTTAACAATAAGTATTCCTGCCTCTCCATCAGCCATAAGACAATTGACCGCCTGTAAAAGACGAGCAAGAAAATCCTGATATGGCTCATCAGGCCCCTGTCTAATTTTGAAAGTTCCTCTCTCTCTTTTCCAAAATCCGGTAATTTATGCCATATGTCCTCACTCCCAGAAAACAAAGGTGCTCCCTTCTAGAAAGGAAGCACATAATCCACCCCCCACTCCTCTATCTATTCCAACCATCATTATAGTCCTCAGGTAGAGGAAGTTGTAATATTGGGTGGGGGCGTCAGACGGCCAGGGGCGCTCCTCCTTGAGCCCTTAAGCAGAGCTGATATTTTTACTTTCAGTTTTGCTCACTTGGTCCCTTCTGACCTTGTGCTAGAAAAAGCCCCCTTTTAGCTTGAAAGACTTTTTCTGTGTTTACATGAGCTCATACTCATGTACAGAATCTGTTATGGTATTTTCTAAATCCTTTGGCTCGTCCCCACTTACTATTTGTATCATGATGTGGACGAATGTCCAAGTTACCCAGAAGTGCACTGGACTACTTTCTCCTTGTCTGTGGGTTTTCACCGTATTTCATTAACTTGATCCCATACTCTGGGATCTAGAGTGCCCTTTTCAAGAAACCAAGGATTATATTCTGTTATTAGCCCCCAACATTGCTGCAGCTGGGCTTTGGACATTGAAGCCCCACTTGTACTTAAGAAATGGTGTATCCACTCAGTATATGATGCTGGTTTCCCTATTTCAGGTCTGTGTTAATCCCTCCTTGCCTCTTGCGGCAGGGGTCCTCAGGTCCTCTCTTAGCTTTTCATGCAGGTCCTTGATTCTGGTGCCACTTGTCAACGTTTGCCAACCTATGCAGATCTGTGACTGTGAGAGCCAGGATCCCAGGACCTGAAAGATGGAGGGGGGAGACACTACAGTATAATAATTCCGAGACAACCTTACTTCAGTTTCAGTGGACTTTTATACACAAATGTAACCCAAAAAAAGCAATTATCCAAGGGAGGTTGTTTGACTTCAGAAAAAAACATGATCAGAAAAACATATAAATAAATATCAGTAAGTACATACTAGATATTAACAGAGCAGCCTTTCCTAGAACCTTCTCAGGACAGACCAGTTTGAACACAATTGCCTGGCACGTACTGTAGATTATATCTGGGAAAGCTTGGAAGCAAGGCAGAGGCCATAACCAGATTCAGAGTACACTGACCAGATTGGATTCTATAGCTACGTTCTGACATCCAACAAAAATAAACACGTCTTATAAATGAATATGGTGTCACAGGAGGCACAGAATAATGTCCAAGAACGATCCAGGGAACACAATGCACTTGAGATAAGAGGCCTCTGCCTTTCCCCTGACGCTTCTCTCACAGTTCTCCAAGGCACTGTTCACCATGCATCACTCTTTTCACTGTGTTTTGACACTGGAAGCTTTTGGGCTAGCCTGGCCTACATGGCAGAGTTCCAGACCAATAAGAGCCTGAACAAAAACTGGAAGAAGCCTAGAGACTAACATCCATTCCACATACTCTACATGCACGTATCTGCACCCAACACACAAGAACATGCACATATATACATGCATGCAGAAAGCATACATTGAATAAAGATTGATTCAGATTTAGAAAGAGGAAAAAAATCATAGCAAAGACCAAAACCAAAAGTTAAAACTTAAGAACAAATTAATTACCTTGAATCCTGAGTGATATCATAAATACTCAGTTTAATGCTATAATGAAGTGAAGATTCTTCGTTGCATTTTTTTAAACTAGAATAATTATTCATCAGGTCCAAAGAAATCTCTGCATCAATCAGAGTTAATGTTTTCTGCCCAACACGTGCAGTGACTTGACCAAAAGAGAACCCTGGATTCACTCCATTTGTTAAAATGTGTGGCATCCATCATCTACATGTGTCATGTGACCGGTCTTACAATTAGATATGCAGAAGACAATCTGATCATAGAAAAGGGCTTTCATTCATTCAATATGTATTTATTCCATATGTTAGGCACAGTACTAAACAAAGAGATCCCAGGATAAATGAGACAGGATAGACAATTGATTAATTTTAATATTGTAATCAAGATTACCCTTACCACTCAGGAAAAGGTGCTGCTGCTTTTTAAGCCTGACATGTTGGGGTGTGCTGCTTATCATTTTTCTACTAATTCCAGAGTTAAATGAATTTTGGCAATGATGTTTCAGATGAGCTTTCTTATGTTGGCAATGTTACTGAGGCGAGCAACTCTCTATGAATTGCAGGATAATAAAATATTCACAGAAACTTGCAACTCTGCAACTGAATAACAATTACACATTTGCTCCAAATAGGCAATTGGTTTCCAAACACATTAAACAAAGGCAATTTAGAAGGCTTCTTCTTCGTGCTGGCATCCTTGATGCTGCTGAACGTCCTGGGATTCTGGAGGGCTTTGCGGAGGTAAGTGTGTGGGAAGAGGAACGATTTCTGACTCCGTGAAATATTGGTCTGAGACTCAGGAGTGAGCCAATGGGATCCCATACGCCATGATGAGACAAATTAGCATCCTGCAGAAATTTAATGGATTATTCTGAGCAAGACCTTCACTTTTGACTTCCCTTATCCACCAATTCTCATAATAAATAAGTGCTTTATTCCATTCTAAAGCATGCTGTGATGCCAATGTGGTTTTCTTTATCCACTGTGGTACTATTTCAGAGTTACAGGTGGCCATATGGGTAAGTCATTACCACTGGAAAAAAAAATACCATTAAACAAACAGCTAAGAATTTAATGACCCTAGAGATTTGGGTTCCATTCAAGTCTTTAAATCAGCAGTGGCCATTTCAAGGTCAATAGGTGAAAATCCATTAGACCAGTGGCTCTCAACCTTCCTAACATTGCGACCCTTTAATACAGTTCCACATGCTGTGGTGACCCCCAAACATAAAATTATTTCACTGCTGCTTCATAACTGTAATTTTGTTAGTTATGAATCATAATATAAATATCTAATATACAGGATATCTGATATGTGTCCCTCAAGGGGTCACGACCCACAAGTTGAGAACCACTGTTTTAGAGCCTCACCTAAGTTGTCAAAGTAATGGGATATTATCATCCTTGTGCATAATCTCGCTTGTCTTACAATTAACATATGCAAAATACCATTTAATCACAGAAATATTTTTCATCCATTCAATGCCTATTTGCCAAAGAACCTCCATGAATCAGGCAGCTGTGTATCATCTGCTATCCCTTGTTGGAGCCCATTTTTAAGTTCCTAGAGGCTTTGCCCAGCAGGTCTGCCTAGAGAGGATGATTGGACTACAGTCCTGAGTGCAGGTGTCTGAGAAGTTCTGCACTTGACTGTGCTGGGGGGAGATCTTTTGCTCCACCCCTTGGCATTCCTTTAAATACCCTAGGGCAGAGACAGTTGAGGCCTGATGGATTAGGATCTAGACCTTCCCAAGGCTATCCTGTGTTTTCTATCTATTTCTCTCCCCTCTATCCTTCCTTCTAACTAATATTTCCTGCTGCTTCTAATCAAGAGTACTCTGGGGAAATTTGGGGGTGAGGGATGGCCCCCCATAATCCATCTATCTATTGATTGCCCCACCTCTCTCTGCCTCTGTCTTTCTGACATATTCTAGCTATGTTCAGGGAGCAAATTGTCTAACCTGTTGGAGCCTTTACACATGTAAATTACGTCAATATAAAAACTGCTGGTTTTTAGGGAGAGACCTCTGTAAAGATCTAAGTTCTGTGTGTGTAACATCACAGAAGCTAAAGTTTCATTGTCCTCACTTGCCTCCATTTATCTATTGTAGACATTTCCCCACAAATCTTCCCACTTGTCGCTACCTCTTCCTTGCCCAAACCAGTCTTTTATTCTTCTACTAAATGTCTTTTGGATCAGCATCCAGGTGACAGATGGGTGCAGCAAACCAGAAGTTTGCTGAGTCAAAAGTCAACAGATGCTCAGTGTCATCTACAGCCCTGATCTCCCTGTGCTGATGGTCCGTTATGGGAGACACTGAAACCCTACAAGGAGGGGTAGGGACCAGACCTAAAATTGAATAGCCCCATTAGTATGAGTACTTTTTGCCCTCCAAAGCACACAAGCTCCACCTCTCTCCCCCAGTATGGAATTTCTCTAAATGCCAGGCTCTTAGATTGCAAATGAAACTAGAAAATCAGAGAATTTCACAGGAAACTCCAACAAGGGTTTGTAGCTATGTAGGAAAACAGATTCTGTTGTGAAAACAGAAGCCGAAGACACGTGCTTTTCCCCTTCGGCCGCTGTCTCCATCTGCCAGCGTATAGTCCAATACCACCTCTCCATTTTTTTTTTATTTCATAGTCTTTTTGTAAGAATTTTCCTTTGGCCAGGCAGTGGTGGCTCACACCTTTAATTCCAGTACTTGGGAGGCAGTGGCAGGTGGATTTCTGTGTTAGAAGCCAGCCTGGACTATAAAGAGAATTCCAGGACAGCCAGGGCTACACAGAGAAATCCTGTCTCCAAAAACAAAAACAAAAAAGTTGTTAGTTGTTTTTGCTCTTTCGAAGGGCCTGCCACCCAGCTCCCAAATAAATCACATGTGGAGATTTATTCTTAATTATAAATGCCAGGTCTTAGCTTGGCTTGTTGCTAGCCAGCTTTACTTAACTTATCCCATCTAGCTTTTGCCTTTGGGTTTTTACCTTCCTCTGTTTCTGTATGCCTTTCATTATTTCTTACTCAGTGGCTGGCTGTGTAGCTGGATGTCTGTCCCCTGATGCCCTCCTCCTTCTCTGGCTACTCTTCTTTCCCAGATTTCTCCTTCTTTATCTTCTCTCTGCCTGCCAGCCCTGCCTATTCTTTCTCCTGCCTTGCTATTGGCCGTTCAGCTCTTTATTAGACCATCAGGTGTTTTACATGGGCAAAGTAACACAGCTTCACAGAGTTAAACAAATGTAACATAAACAAAGTAACATACCTTAAAATAATATTCCACAACAACAACAAAAAAGAATTTGCCTTTGTCCTTCATAGAAGCAGCCTCCAGAGTCAGAGATGTCAAGGTCTGTTCCACAGTGTGTGAGCAATATAAATACCAATACACTCCTTAACCTGGCTGGGCCTTGGTTTCTCCACCTCTTACTGTGTCTCAGGGTTGAAGTTGAGTAAATACTCAAAAATATTGGCAATACTAAAGTGCCTACCAATTTGGCCTTATACATCCCATTTCTTCTGCTTTATTCTTTTCATTCTTATGCTGAGATGTGGTTTAGTTGACCATGGATATGATTGCATTTAAATAAGTCTTACTTGTGAATACAAATTTATCATGTATGCATGCATTCAGTCAGCCTGTAAAGCACTGTCCCAGGCACTAAAGAGACAACGTTGAACCAAGAAAATGCCATTAGTACAAAGGGGATGAGATTAGTGACCAATCTAAAACATTCAAATATCTGTGGTTATCGAGTGAGAGCTTGAGGTTGATGAGAAGAAAGGTAAGAATGAAAATGTCCAACACCAGGGATTAGAACAAACAAAGATAAGGGACTATGCACTAAAGCAGATTTGGTTCAGAAATAAGTCTAATTCTGTCCAAGTCTCATGTAAACATAAGGAAGTTGTTTTACACTTGAACTTTAGTTTTCTAGTATATTAAATGGGAACAATCCCTCCTTCCCAGAATAGTATTGTTGGAGAAGATATTCAGGAAAGGTAAGTTTCCCTGATGTCATGGTGGACAGTGGACATTTTTAAAATGTGGTCACAGACTCCTTCTTTGACAATGGTCTCAGCACCAAATTCATGGTACGTCTGATCAATACAATACAATTTACAGCATATCTGATGAGCCGTTAGAGTCCAAGCAGCCATGAAATCCACTGCCAATAAAATTTCCAGGTTTCTCTCACTGACAGTACAGAAGAGACTCACAGATGGTTGTAAAAGAACACCATCCTGCTGGTGGTGATGATGTGTGCTACCCTATAATCCCAGCATTTAAGAAGCTAAGGCAAGAGGATTGCCCCAGTTCCAACAAGCCTAGATGTCATAGCAAGTCCCAAGAGAGCTTAGGCTACATGGCAATACCTTGTCTCAATATTAAGAGAGCGCTTTCTAAAGGTCCTTATGGGAGCCTTACTATGTACTAAATAGAACTCTCCTGTCCCTGTACAAAGACTGCCTCTTAAATAATGAGCCCTGTGGTGCCATCATAAAGGTAGGCAAGCGCGGGAGAGAGGCTGATGATTTATCAAGTGATCTACATCTGCTCCTAAGGAAAGCTTGCTTTCTTTCTTTTTTTTTAGATATTGTAATCTAAATCATTTTAATGCCCAGAGCATCAGTGGAAGAAATCGTGAAGAAACTCTTCTCTATAAAAAGTCTCTGAAGTTTTATGGCAGTATACATGAAACATCGTCAAGTATTGATCTTTGGGAGACAGCCCTGTGAAACTGGATCTGACTCTGTCTTGTGAGCGCCACTATCCATTATTTTCTTCTTCAGTCGAACACTTTATGCATTTTACTGGGAAAGTCAGCATAAAGGAAAGTGACTATGAATGTTATCTATGTACTTTATTTACAAAGAGCAATTATGATCCTCTAATAAACTATTATACTTTTGTATTGCTATATTATGCTCTTGAATTAATTAAGTGATCTCAAAGTCTTGGTGATTACTTTCTGATCAGAAAATGTTCATTTTCTGTGTTAACATGTCAATCACATTGTATAACCTTTACAATGATTCACTAATTGAAAGTGATGTACAATATTTACTTATAATTTTAATGTCGTTGGAAGCTAAGAGACATTATGTTTTTATTTTTTCTTCCTGTACATTTACTAAGTCTTTATTGCATTCTAGGTAGTATTACCATAGATAATATAAGTCTAGATAGATGATAAATGTATATATAATTCTGCTATATTTGACCTTGTTATTGCACTAAAATAGATCAAAAATATTGGTTTGGTTTCATTTGGTCTTGTTAGGTTTGAGACAAAGTCTCATGCAGCCCAGGCTGTCCTCAAACTTAACTGTGTAGCCAAGGACGACCAATGAACTGGAATTACAGGCCAGGTGCCTCCATTCCAGTCCTCTTTTATTATTGCTATTAATTGTTATTTCTATGAATAAAATTAATGCCCTGTCCCTTTGTTGAAGTTTGTTTCAGTATCTGACAAAATTTGATTTTGAGTCTCCTGCTTCAGGTGACTTTCTTGCCCCCACACTGCCTGTCTTGATGAGTCTAACGTGAATTCTTCCATGATGATACCCAGACATTGAAGGCTCTCACCAGAGCCTCCCATCTGCTTCCCCTCCGGGACTGTGCTGGAATGGGCAAGAGCATTTACCAGTTCATTGTTCACTGTGGCTGAGCACCCCTCTTGCTGATGCAGCCAATGCTTAAAGCTGTGGAATAAAAGACGTAGCCAACTTGACTGGGTTTCAATATGCATTTTTAAATGCTCTTACAGCTGTAAAACACCAGGTGTTTTTCTTATTCCAGCTATTTGCTGTTTGCTCGTTTGTTTGGAAGACATGCTAAAAAGACTAGCTCTTACAGGCAACACTTCTTCCCCACAACTTTTTCAAACCCTTTGTTTTGCATAAATCCCTAGCAAAGCAGTGGGGTAGAGCCTGATACTCTCACAACTTTCCTTGCTGTGAAAGGTTAAATGCCAAGCTTGCAATTTTGGGCTTAATGAACACCCCAAAGGAGCCTCGTTAGCGCAGTATCTAGTGCATTGGTCTCGTAATGAACACCCCGAAGATCAAGAAAGCTCCAAACGCCTCGTCTTGGTGTAAATGAAAAGCCATAGCCCGCTCTTGCTGCTAGAAAAAGGCCTGTCGTGGCTTTGGCCCTTCCCCAACTTTCCCTTCATCTCCTTAATTTCTACATTGTAACAGGAAAAAGAGGATGTTCTTTGCGTTTTCACTCTTCCTTTGCGATGAAAGATCTGCAGAAATTAGAAAATTGACCCAAGCAAGCAGCAGAAGAGCTGAGAACTCGCACGTTGGCGTTGACACTTGTGATTAGCTAAATTGCAATAACTACACGCGCTTCCATTCGGAACAGGGTGCATTCACACGGCAGTTTCTTCTCTAGTGCCTGGCGACATTATCGCTGAGCACCTGGAATAGTTTAGGCATTAAGTGTAATTGGTTTTGCTTTACATAAATCTGGAGCTTTGTAAATAAGCGGAGCGTTTCAGCTTCTATATAACACCAATTAACTTAAAGGGATGCCTTGTTTGCAGAAGCCTGCTGTGTTCCGTACTGTATTTCTCCCATAATGTGCTCCATGGCAGCAAAGTCCTGTGTCTCTGCAGTGTTCCACGGGCTCCAGCCACTTCCACCAAGAGCCTCCCAGCCACTCACTTACTGCAGTTCACAAAAGCTGAAGGAACCTAGTCTTCCCTAAGAAATGCCCTCAGTGCTGGATTTTTGCTCAAGATTTGAGACTTGAAAGAAAAGCACTAGAAAATGTTTCTGTGGTCCACAGAGCACACAGGTCTGACCCCATCTGGTTCTGAACACAAATGACAGGGATATCTCTTTCTTCCTTTTTCTCTCAGAAAATTCAGTACAGCCACAAGTCAGACATTGCGCCTATACACAAAATTTTTTGAATGTGTTCTTATTGTATGAAGTTACCAGTAAAAACATTTGCATCATAGTGCCTCATTTCTTACCATGGAAAAGGCAAACAAACAAACAACAACAAAACAAACTAACTAACTCTGAGAACTGGAAGCAGATGGATTTTTCTCCCAAGCTCTTTGGCCATTTCCCCTTATTATCTCTCTACTCAGCTTTCTCCCTTATCTGTGGCATCCCCTCCGATAATCTTGAGTTCTAACATCCATCTGGTCATTGCCAACCTGGAATTCTCTTGCTTTATAAAAACACTTTGTAGAACTGTGGGGACTGATCAGTAGGTAAGAGCACTCGCTGTGTACACGCTTGAACCTGAATGTGACCCCTAGAACCCACATGACCATGGGGCATGACCACGAATGCCCAGCAGTGATTAGCATAGAGAAGCAGACCCCAGGCCTTCCCTGTCCAGCCAACACAGCCGACAGAGGGAGCTTCAATTCAGTGAAAGACTCTGTCTCAAGGGAATATGTGGGAGACTGACAAGACGGGACACCCAGTATCCTCTTATTACCTCTGTGCACAGGCATGTGCAGATACCATCACAAGCATACACCACACACACACTGGTTTTTAAAGTATTTTTATCAGCTAACAGAGTAACGGTATCACCAAGTAACAGCTCTTGATTCCAAAAGTTTCCTGTTTATATTGTGATTAACAAATAGAACACCTGCTGAGAATGGCCAGGATCTCTGGGTATGAGAAAACTGTCAGTAATGATAGATGGGCCCAGCAACAACCATACACCATCCCCACCACAAGGAGAACCAGAGTATGATTCCCAGTCTCAGAATTTTGAGTAAAGCCCTCAAATAAAACCAACAGCAGAGTGAGAACAAAACACGGGTGTCCCCTTGTGCAGGTCTGCTAGAAAGTAAGGGAATTAGAGGCATCACCAACAATAGCGACCCATATCCATGTCACCGTTTGGCAGTTTACAAGTCTCTGCCACAAGTTTGATTAATGTCAGCATTCTGGGAGGGAGGCACATTTTGGTGTACCCATTTTGTAGATGAGAAATTGCAGCACCAGAACAGTAAATGACTTATCAGGAGTGACAGGGCTTGCGAAATGGTTTTCTCCATTAAGTGCCTGTCACCTAAACATGAGGACCTGAGTTTAGGTCCCCAACATTCATGTAAAAAGACAGGAACTGCAGCACACATATCTAAACTCAGTGCAGAGGACACAGACACGTTGATTCCTGGAGACCACTGGCCATCCAGCCTTGCTGAGTCATCAAGCTCCAGTCTTAGTGGATGACACTGTCTCAAAAAACTGGAGAGCAGTCAAGCAAGTCTCCTGATGTCAACCTCTGTCCGCCATATGCATGACCTGTGCACACATGTGTGTGCATGCACATGGGTACATGTGGGCACAAACACATGCACACAAGCATGTACAAATGCCAACCATATATGCATACACATAAATGAATAGATAAAAATAAATTTTCAGCAGAGTTACAGAAATAGTAGTTTTTCACAGACAAGACTTGAAAGGTACACTATTGTTCCACAGGGCGACAGCTGCTTTCACAAAGAACACTCTAGACATCACCAACATTGTATCAACATTCATGGATAAAACATTCTCTGTCATCAAAAGGGCACAAGGAGAGGAATGCCATGACATGGATAGGAATCTGTAGATGAATTTCTAAATGGTTTTATTAAATAAGAAACACAGAGCCAAATAAATATAGGGGTGAAAGCCTTAGAGATCAGGGAAATAGTGAAAGCCACCAGCTAGCCTTAACTCACCACACCGCCGTAGCTTCCCAAGCTTTTATTGTCTTGCTGTTCTGCCCTCTCATTGGCTCCAGCCCAGCTACCTCACTTCCTTGTCACTGCCTATCTGTACAGACCTCCAGGTCTCTATGGTTGGTACTGAGATTAAAGGTGTGTGTCACCATGCTTGGCTGTTCCCTAGTGTGTCATTGAACACACAGAGACTCTGCTTGCCATGTGATCGGATTAAGGGCATGTGCTACCACTGCCTGACTTTTGTGTTTGTTTACCTTAAAATGGCTTGCTATTCCCTTTTATCTCCAGACAAACTTCATTTACTAACATACAAATAAAATATCACCACATTTCAAAACAAAGTATCACTACATTTCCCCTTTTTGTCTAATAAAAATAAAAAATAATAAAAGTTATAACTAATATAAGAAAAACTATATACAATAAGTACAATAACTATATACAATGTACACAAGCAATAAATACATCAACAATGTCTAGTCCACTTGCATTTGACAAATTCAGGGAAAATATTCCATTATCTATCCTATCTGGGTGAGTGCAAAATGTACCTGATTCACTTTCTATCCTTACTTATATTACTAACAGAGAAGTATCTTATAATGTCTTTCAAATGTATACACTTTACAGGAATCCTGACAAAACACTAACGTCTTCCTCAGTCAGCACCCCTATGAATCATTATGCTGTTCCCATGTAGACTCCTGATAGTCAGCTGCACCCCACTGAAGATTCTTCCAACTGACTAGAGTGGGAGAAAGGACCTCAAAGTCAAAATGAGTTCTTCCAATACTTTCAGTTCTGCCATCAAAACTGGCTGGATGTTTGTACTACAAACGGATTCTAAACTGCCTTTAAAAAGTGCAATTTGCAATAAATAAATGTTCCCAAAGTCTGATCCATAATTATGAAGATCCCTCTGCAGTTTCCTGAGAGCATACAACACTGTTCCATTTCTTGGTGTGTTAGTTCACTTAGCAATCAGAGCCACCATCGGCTTTTACATAGTCTCAGAGGAGTCAGCACAGGGTTGTGAGCTGTCTCACACGGGTGTGAGGAACCAAACTCCAGTCCTCCACAAGAGCAGTGTGTATGCTCTTAATCACTGAACCTCCAGACCCTCAAACCCTCATCTATCCTCCATCATGGACGCAT